TGGATTTTGAATAAATGGGCAATTAATTGTTACAGTTTTGAATTTTACTGTTACTATCTTCCTTCCATCATGCAAACTGCCTAGTCACATGACCCCCCAGCCACGCCCCCAAGCCATGCCCACAGAACCGGTAGCAAAAAATTGAATTCCACCACTGGGTGGGGGGCACTGAGGATCAGTTTGTAGCATTGGACTGAAAAAGTTTGGGAACCAATGTTTTAATCTGTGCTATGAAGCAAGTACAACATAGTAGACTACAGATATTTTAATCAGTACTTTAACAAATTCATATGGGGAGCTTCCTCTCTAAGGAACTGTGGACTGGATAAAAAGTCACAAAGATTACCTGCCATGGCTGGACATTTGAGATCTTCTTTCCAAGCTTCATCATGGCTAGTTGTCCTCCAGATACACATAATGCATATAATGCATGTACCAGAGCATAAATGGCATTGTAGATGTTGTAACTTTCTCCTGTTAAGCTTGTTTCAAAAACTAAAGTTGGTAGATTGTGTAAATTCTCCTTTCCTGTACATGGTTTTTGCTGGGGAAAATCAAATTCACCTGGTTTGTAGATCTTGCAGCCAAAGACAAATTCCCACCACTTTGGGAGAAAAATGTCCCCTTGTGGGTTGAAAGGGTCCAAAGACAGGAGGAAGTGGCTGAATTCTGAAACATCCCTGGAGTGGTCCCTAAAATGCAAAGCCCCATGGAAAGGATTTAGACCTTTCAATGTGTCTTTAGATTCTCCCCTACTAACTTTCCAATGGGAAGTTAAGACCCAAACTTTGCTAAATGGTGTCTTTGTCCAGTCTTCACGAATTTTCATGGTCGTCACTACATTTATAATGCTACTGGAGTCTCCAAACAGAATAATCACCTCAGCTTCAGACCAGGTTTTGGAACTATGTAATACATTCCACATTGTAGTAGCAAAATAATTAGATTTCAACCTTTCAATGAAGGCCAGGCAGATCTCCTTCTCCTGGAGCATCGGCATCAGAGTTGAGATGAAACATTCTCCATTGTCATCTTCAGGGGCCAGAAGCCCAACCCAGTTCCACTGGAAATACAGGAGCAGCTGGACTAAACCCACATACTGAGCAGATTCCTTGGGATTAATCCGTAAGAAGGAAGGATAAACTCTTCTCTCGTCCTCAGAGAACTCAAAGCCAACACTGAGCTGGAGAAAGTGAGATTCTTTTTTCCCCCCCAAAGAAAATATAAAGTTTTAGGGTGATTTTGAGGCAGGGGTGTCAAACTGGATTTCTTTGAGGGCTGGATCAGCATCGTAGTTCTCCTTCGTGGATTGGCGGGGGTAGCGACGGGGTGGGAAGGGTATCTCCTGGAGCACAGGGTGTCTGTGTGTCATTTTCACCTTCCTTGGCCTCCTACAGCATTCTGTCGGCCATTTTGTGGGCCCGTTTTTGGCCCGTTTCGGCTGATAGAGAGCTGCAGGAGGCCATGGAGGGAGAAAACAAGGCGCAGCCCCCCTGCATGGAGTCCATTTTATCCACCAGAGGCACCGCAAGCCGCTCCTTTGATATTTCCAAGCCGGCCCCAGGAGGCGGATTGAAGCACCCGGTGTCCTGGATTCGGCCCGCGGGCCTTGAGTTTGTCCCCTCTGCTTTAAGGGTTCCTATTTTGTTTTTTCCTGCCCCACCAGTCACTCATTTTGAGTGGCAGGCTTAAACTTCTCTCCTTTTTAGGAAGAGCCACCAGTTGCATGTTGTGACTTGTCAAAAAGTAAGGAAAGAAGCCATCAACCTCATACCAGGGTATAAATTGCATCAACAAGCTGGATACGCTTGTTTGAAGAATAAGTTAGGAAGGAATTTATCTCAGCAGGTGGAACATTTCAGAATTATCTCATTATCTATCTTTTTGGGGGTTATTTGACACATAAAATATTTCATCCATTCTCTAAATCATGCATTCCTCTTGTGTCCCCCAAAACACATTTGGTTTCACTTTCGGCTTCTATGTGTGCTTGTCTTATTTGTCTACTCCATAACTGTATACGAAGGCGTCTCTTTACCTGTGGGACCTTGAAGAGGCTGAAGATGGAGGCCATCTGCCTTGAGGATTTGGAGTTGAGACCTCCAACGACAGAGAGCAGAGTGTCCTGCCTGTCACATTTATAACCTGGAACCTCTTGGCCTCGTGTGGAGAGCAGGGAGAGGCTGATGAAGGAAATCTCTCTCTCAATCTGGCGATTGTCACAGATGTGGAAGCCAAGGGTGATGTTGGGGAGAAGAACCAGATCCTTGTTGATCTCTCTGACTGTAAACACCAAGGCCAGGATCTGCTGGTAATTCTTGGATATGGGACTATAATAAGAAAAAAAAGAAACATGGGGAATATTATAGGGAAGTGGGCTGGGGTAGCTTGCCTTGCTTGGCGGTGGGGAATTTTGGTACAGAAAGTCCTAAATTTGATTAGCTTGGTGGTTTTTTAAAAAAGAACTTGGATGGGTTTGTGAGAAAGTAAAAATGTCTTCCCATCTCCATCATGGCATTTTTTTACATCCTTCTATCATCCCTTCTTCTTTCCATTTCTTCCAGTGGCTGTAATCCTTCCTGTTGCTCCTGTAGAATCTGGTTACCATTGCTGAACACAGCACTTGTGTGTGTGTGTG